AGAGACGCCTCGAGGCCTGGGTCGGTCCCCGCTGCGGCCACCCTGGCCCTCCGGTCCGGTTTCCCACCCAGTCTCTCCGCTCCCCGGCCGGTGCGTCCTTCCCACTTGGCCTCCCTGCGGCCAACCTGGCGTCGGCCACCTTGGCGCCTAAATGCTTTCTGAGTGAATGAACGATTTGGCGCGGAACCTGGTTTTGTGTGGTCCCATCTTGCGAGATCTGCAGATACGAGGGTAAAATCACTCTGTCAAACCCAAACGCATAGGGCTGGGGAAAGCACCAAGGGCGAGGGCTCGTGCCGGCCCGTCTGAGGTAGGGGCTGTCTCAAGAACTTTCTCAGATAGCCCCATGCCGGGGGTGGTGGCTCACACCTGTCATCCCAGCACTTTGGGAGGCAGAGGCAAGAGGATTACCTGAGCTCAGGAGTTCGAGACCAGCCTGAGCAACATGGTGAGACCTCGTCTCTACAATAAATCAAAAAATTAGCCGGGCATGGTGGCACAAGCCTATGGTTCCCGGCTACCAGGAAGGCCGAGGCAGAAAGACTGCCTGCGCCCTGCAGGTCGAGGCTGCGGTGGCCGTGAGCAGCGTGCCCCTGCACTCCAGCCTGGGCAACACAGTGAGACCCCAACTCAAAAAGAAACAAAAACAAAAAACCACCAAAATCCCTTCACACCTTTCACATGTCTCATGTTTCTCGTGACCTGCGTTTCCCACGTAAGCACTGAGAGGACATCACGTGAAGTCAGTATTCCCCAGGAGCCGTCGTTTTAACCCTGTTCGGTTCTGTCACATTTTTCTAGCAGTTCACGTTCACGTACCCCCTAATCCCTAGCCAGGGACAGAACCGGCTTCTCCGAGGTAGCTATGGAAAACTGCTTCACCAGCCCCTCCTCAGCTTGTTTTGTACGAATTAGCTTTTCTAGTTCAAGTGTTTGCCTCCACCCGTAAGACCCCAGTTAACCTAGCCAGCCCTTCGTGACCTTCATGACACAGACCCCCAGTTAACCTAGCCAGCCCTTCGTGACCTTCATGACACAGACCGGCCCGTCACCACGGCAGCAATCGTGTGTGTGACGAGCCCACCCATCTGCAGGCTGCTCGTCAGCTGATGTCAGTTCCTGTGCTTACCTGCCCTCCGTGATGACGTGGAGCAGACCACCACCCGATCACCTTCATGACCTGCCCCCATCCGAGGGAAATTTAAATGGATTCAACCCAAAGAGACCGCTGGCCATTGTTTTGCTAAGCCATGGCTCTTTGAGCTATGGCCGCCATGTATCCTAGGTTGGGCCCCTCCCCTACCTCAGGGAGGTGAGTCTCCTCTCTCTTCTCTGTCTCTACTTTACTTTCCAAATAAACTCTGTTTTCCGATCTAACTTCTGTGCAATTCTTTGCATCTTTTGCGCAGCAGCGGATTACAAACCAGATACCCCCTGGCTGTCAGACCTGACCTAACATTTTGGAAGCTCTACTGGGATATATCTTCAACCTGACATGCACATGTCTCTATGACTAGGTTTATAGACATTCTCTGGGACTATAGCAATTCAGATAAGATGCTCTTGAAAGCATACTTGTCTGACCGGACTTGGTGGCTCAGTCTGTCATCCCAGCACTTTGGGAGGCCGAGGTGAGTGGATTGCCTGAGCCCACGGGTTCGAGACCCACCCAGGCAACTTGGCAAGACCTTGTCTCTACAATAAATCAAAAATTAGCCGGGTGTGGTAGCGCACGCCTGTAGCTCCAGCTACTTGGGAAACTGAAGCAGAAGGATCACCGGAGCCCAGCAAATGGAGGCTGCGGTGGCCAGGAACATGCCATTGCACTCCAGTCTGGGCGATGGAGTGAGAATCCCAACGCAAAAAAAAAAAAAAAAAAGAATACTTATATAGTAAGGGCATCTCCACTAATGAAATGACACCAACTCCAGCTTTGAGTTTCCAGGACCGATGAGCTCTGTTTCCAAGCAGCTTATGTGAACTTTTTGCCAGCAAAATCTTTCCATTTTGCCCACCCCTTTTCAGGTGCATCTGTGGCTTGCTATAGCTGCGATCCCAGATTAGACTCCTCTTTGCTTGTTCCTGAATACTTCATTAAATTTAAAGGTATTTTTCTCCCATCATTTTTAGACCAACAATCTGCATGCTCTGTCTTTCCTTCTTCCAAATATTGGTATTCGGTACAGTACTAGGAAAGCCCTAGAATTTTCCAGTCCCTCCCAACTTCCCCCTGCCTTCATCTCCTCCGGCGTTTCAAGACGCACCTCTGACAACCCTCGCCGGCTGCCGTTCTCTGCCCACCCCTAAGCCCAAGCAAATTGCATACGGTCCTCCTCCTGGTGCCCTGCAATCTTTTGGCATGCGGCTGTACCCCCACTCAATGTGCAAGCTCTTAGAAAGCAGGTAGAAAACCGTCGTGGTCCCTCGGAGCCTGGGTCTAGTCTGACGCTAGATGCTTTCTGTTACAAGGGGATTAGGCAATGTCTCCATGTAGAAGCCGGAGTGAAGGACAGTTGAAGGAGCTAGCAACTCACAGTGGAACGGACTTGAGAAATCCTGCAGGGAGAGGGGTCTTCTGGCGAAGGGGAAGTTAGGAAAGGATTGATCTTATTCTAGTCCCCAGTGGAAAATCCTCCCAGGTGTGGACCCACTGAGAGGGCCATCAAAGAAAAACGTATCTGCCTCATTTCTCTTTGCTAGAATAAGGTCAGAAAAATGCATCTCTTTTATTTTATTTTATTTTTATTTTATTTTTAGTTGCAGTCTCACTCGGTCGCCCAGACTGGCGTGCAGTGGCCGCTCCCGGCCACCGCAGCCTCGACCTGCTGGGCTCCGGCGATCCTTCTGCCTCGGCCTTCCGAGTAGCCGGAATTACAGGCGCGCGCTACCACACCGGCTGATTTTTTGATTTATTGTAGAGATGAGTTCTCGCTGCCCAGGCGGGTCTCGAACCCGCGGGCTCAGGCGATCCACTCACCTCAGCCTCCCAAAGGCGCGGGATTACAGGCTGAGCCACCGAGCCCGGCGTATCTCTTTTAAGAAAGATAATTCTAGCAAATCGGACCCAACAACACATCTCAAAATAAAAAAAAAGAAAACATAAAGAAAAGAAGAAAGGTAGCAGCTTCTAAGGAGTAGTGCTTCTCAGCTAGATTGAAGGCTAAAAGAAAAGATAGCTATTCCAGTGTTCGTAGAGTGAAGAGTTTGCACTGCTGTCTCTCACATTAAGGCAGGAACCCCCAACCTTTTTGGCGTCAGGGACCGGTTTGGGGGAAGACAATTTTTCCACGGACAGGGCAAGGGAGGACGTGCAGTCAGACCTCACTGCAGATGTTCATCTGTCTTTGCAGTCATTCCCCGGGGTTAGCATCACTGCCTCAACCCCACCTCAGATCTTCAGCTGTTAGATTTTCGTAAGGAGTACACAGTCTAGATCCCTCATGTGCGCACTTCAACAGGCTGAAGCAAGAGGATCACTCCAGCCCAGGAGTTTGGGACGGCCACATGGCGAGACCCCGTCTCTAAAATCATAACAAAAAGAAAAATTTTTGTTTGAATTGGGGTCTCACTCCGTCGCCCAGGCTGGAGGGCAGTGGCACGCTCACAGCCACCCCAGCATCGACCTGCTGGGCTCCAGGGATCTTTCTGCCTCAGCCTTCCAAGTAGCTGGAATTACAGACATGTGCTACCACGCCTGGCTAATTTTTTGATTTATTGTAGAGACAAGGTCTTGCCAAGTTGCCCAGACTGATCTCGAACCTGCGGGCTCAGGCGGTCCTCTCGCCTAGGCCTCCCAAAGTGCTGGGATGACAGGCTTGAGTCACTGCACCCGGCCACAAATAAGTTTTTAAAAGAAATTGTACCTCTTTTCTTTTGTAGTGTGGGTGAGTGATTATCCAGCCATCATTCATTCATGTGTCAAACATTTAGAAATGTCTGCTGTGTGGCGGGCACAGTTTCAAGTGCTGCAGGACAGCACTGAATACAACCATGGTCTGACCTGACAGAGCTGACCCTCTAGTTGCACGAAACAGACCATCAATACACACTAGGGCCTTAAGAGGGATTGGAGAGTGCTGCCTAACGTAGACGGGGAGAGAGACCTGAATGGAGTGAGCAAGCCGGGCAAGAGGATGGCTGGGGGAAGAATATTCCAAGCAAAGGGGCCAAGGCAAAGGTCTCCAGGCCCGAGACTGCTTGGTGTGTTTCAGGAGTCACAAGAAAGCCCCGGGCAGGGAGAGAGGAACAAGAGACAAAGTCCCAGCAGGCACAGAGTCAGATCCTGTGAGGCTTTGTAGGTCATCCTAAGGTCTCTGGTTCTCAGCTGAAGAGAAATACATGCAGAGGCGTGGCACGATCTGACCCCAGGCTGATCCGTGAAGACGAGAGAAAGAAGGAAGAAGCTTGGAAAACTGGAACCACTGTTGCACTCCAGGTAAGAGCTGCCCGTGGCTT